TGTCACCTCTCTCAGACCTGGTTATCTGTAAACAAGGAGAAAGCCGTCTCCCCCAGGTGGCGGAGAGCTTCCGAGGAGTGAAGCCCAGTGAAGCGCTCAGGACAGAGCCCAGCACGTAGGGACGGCCAGGAGTGTTTTCAGCCCCCTCGCGGTGGCTGGCTACATCCGAGGGTCCTCTGAACGTTCCAGGACACAGCCAGAGGCCATCAGATCTACAGCCTGACACCGTCATGATCCAGATTGACCATTAAAGATGTTTTCTGAATGGCTGACTGACTGAATCACTACAGGAGAATGTGCCTGAACTCACAAGTCCAATAATAGCTTGGAAATAGAAGCCATCTGAAAATGTTCCTAAACTCGAGCTGGGTTGGCAAGGATTGGATGTGATTATAAAAAGCAAGTGAGAAGAGAACGTTACTGCAAGGAAAATTGAATCCATATGACTTTTAAATAACTTCCTTCCAATAGAGAATATTAAAATATTATATTTTTGGCAATTATTAAATACTAAAACAAATGCAATTATTTTAAATTGAAATTCTATTAAGCTAAAAAAGTAAAGTTGCCACAACTGTATCCTAAGGCCTAACTCCCCCTTTTGTTATTAACTTACCTGGGCAACAAATTCCAGGTCTTTTCCAAATGATACCTATTTAAAATTTACATTCAGATTTAATGCTATGACTCAGTAGTTATCTAAGACCAAATTATGCAGTAGGCTCCTGTCTAAACACTGATATGGAAATATTCTTAGCTTACATATGCTCTGATTCAGAACATAAACCCATAATTTAAAATCCATCTGTAGTTTTCTGTCATTACTGAAATGACAGCCCAGTTCTCTCTCCTCTCACTGAGTAACTCAGGTAGCACCCATCACGGCAGGTTCAAAAACGTGGGTTCTCTGTGTGGCTTCCCTCTGTGGGTTATCAACTGGACATCGGAAGGCCCATTTAGGCACTAACTTCTTCCATAAAATGTTCTTGTTCTCTGGAACATCCGCTTGAACTTTGGGTCACTTTCCATAAGAGATAGTTGAAACGGAATCCAGCTGGTACAAGTGAGGCAGAAAAGAGAAGCATGTACAAATCCTACTACCCTAATAGTTCAAGTTTTCTCTCATAAAAGTATTTCTGAGCCCCTTTTAACAGCTCACAATAGAATGTAATTTTTGAAACTGCAAGTAATTTAATGCAGAGGCACAATGGTTTTTCCAATTCTTATTCTTAATCCAGAAGGTAAATAAAACCTACACACCCTCCAGGCTCTAATCCTATACTTTAAAAACAACTTACTATTGGCAGAAACTTAACCCTTTGCTTTGCACATAGCGCACTATTTGCTGAGGTGAGAAGGCAAGCCCAACCAAGCTTCTTTTTTGGGCTAATGCCCAACAGGTCCAGGTTCTCAAGTGACATCTGAGGATACTCGCCACCACCCCCAGGCCCCTTCTTCAGAACCCCTCTCAAAACCAAAGGGCATTATGATAATGAGCTTGATTTCCATTAAACAGATTTTTGTTGACTAATCAACAATCGATCTATGAAGCCAACTGGACCTGAGCGGTCTACGATGGGGGTGGAGGCATATCCCACAGTCAAGAGAGGAACTAGACAAGACTGTTCCAGGAGCAGCTCTGACTAATCAACGGTCTTGCTGCACCAGGTTTGCCCATAAAGTGACGATTCTACGTGTTCACTAATGCCAGAAAAACCCTTAACAGAGAAGGTATCATGGCCTGTACGCCACATTTAGAGGAAATGAAGCCTTAAAAAAAAAAAATATATAGAAATGATCAACAGGATGGCGTAGCTTGGAGGTAGTTCAAATTCTAGCTTGCCACTTGAGAGTCGTTGACCTTTGAACAAAATCACTTCCCCAGGGTCTGTTTCCCATCTGTAAATGATACCAACCTCACAGTGTTATTGTCAAGAGTCAAGTGTGAAAAATGCTTAGCACAATACCTCGCGCACACAAGGCACCTGACAGCTACATCCAATTCTCCCTAGAGCTTATCAGATCGTTTCCAGCACCACTTGGAGAGGGAGCAGCACAAGGGCAGGAGTGGGAGGAAGAAGCGAAGTAGACCATTGTGGCTAGAGGCGAAGAGTGGACGAGGAGTGGTAGCCTGGGCGGTCCCCAAACAGGAGACTAGGACACTGAGCCTGAACACATCAACCAATAATCGCAGTTCCACATTTTTCCCTACATCACACCCACTCAAACCTCAAGTTTTGTTCCATTCAACCTTTTTTTTTTGACACTGGATGTTTTATTTTTTTCTATAAAGAATTTTTACTGGTAAGATGGATGTCATCATTCCCACCAATGTGGCCCTCGTTTCTATTATATATTTTTTAATCTCATAGCACTGTGTATTTAAGGCCCTGCATCTTGTAGGCAAACTCCCAGGAAGGGTCAAGGCCCCAGGAGGGAGGGGCCCACCAAGAGCTCTGGCCTTGGAATAAACACGGTGAGAAACTACACAGCAGGCTGCTGTTCCTCCTCCCTTCCAGGTCTAGCATCAAGTACATACACCTTTCTACAGACAAGGGCTCAAGACTAGATTCAGAATAGCCCTTTACCTTCTGCCCCTCCAGCCTTCGGAAAAATGGAACAATGTAAGTACCTACTTTGCAAGGTGAGTGTAGGGATTAAATGTGACACTGAGAGGCTCAAATGAGAATACACAAGTATTTGGCAATTAAGAGCTACACACATTCGTTATCATTTTTTCCACATACATTCAGAAATTCTTCAGTGTGCACTGAAATCACCTGAGGGCTTTAAACTAGACTACCCAGGGCCCGCCCCCAATAGTCTAATTTATAAGGATGGTTGGTTGTAGGGCCTTGGAGCTGGTAGCTTGACCACCTCTCTGGGTCACGTCTGAGAACCACTGTCCTCGAGGGCAAGGCTGCGGCTCTCGTCTGTTCACAGCCAGGGCCTGGCGCCTGGCCACCAAGCCATCGCTAAGAGGTCACCTCCAGCTCTCCCACCCTTCTCACACCTCTCAGAATGGCTTGGTCACTCTCGAGGCTCTTAAATACACCCTCAACAGTGCTTCACCAGGACATTTGCTGAGAGATCAAACCCGGAGGTGGCAGGAGCAGGGTTGGTGCCACCGGGGAGAGAAGAGGCCGTGGGCTGCTGGGCCTCCAAAAGCCGGACAGAAAAGGCAAACCATCTTAGCTCTCAGCCTGGTCTCGGGAGTACTTTAAATGTGGCCTTTAAACCTGAGTCAATCTGTTCTCACCCACCTCTCCTCTCATCCACTCTTCAATGTAAATTGCTCTTTATAAATTTTCTTATGGATATAGGTCAATCTTTGCAAAGTGAGGTTTGATATCAAATCAAAATCCACATAAATATAAAATGCATTAAATGAGCTATAACTTTAGAGTCACTTTAACTAAGTATTAAGTTTGCAGTCATCTAGATATCTGCCCTCAAATATTAAGCTAGAAGCATCTTCTTGACCACCTAGTCTTTGGAGAGTTGTGACAAAGTGAAGAGATTTTGAATATGAAGTATAAAAGAGGAAAAAGCTACCACACAAATATAAGTTCCACAAAGGTCGGGATTTCCGTCCACTGATGTAACCTAGCACCTGGAACACAGCCTGGTACAAAATAGGTGCTCAATAAATTAATGTGCTTCTGTAGAACACCTTGCTATAGAAAGTACCTGTAGTAACCAAATAAAATACAGCCAACCTAAAAAGGGATTTGTAATCAGAAACACCGTGGGATACTCCAAAATAGCAGCAGGGACATAAGGCTTTACTTGTTAGCTTTTTGAATTTTTAAAATTACTCCATAAAGAGTAAAACAACCAAACTGGGGCAGCTCGTTCTGGGTGAGATGCAAGTTACCTGACTTCTTGGGCACTCCTCCGTTAAGGAAACAGCTGAGCGTCTGCCATGCTCAGACACTGCTGTAAGATCTGGGACACAAGACAGACCTCGCTCGCCCTGCTCTTTCAGTCTGTCAGCATCTATACCCAGGACAAAAAGATATTCTACAAGGAAAACTCAGAGACCATCTAGTCCCTTCCCCACTTTTGGCAGATAGGGAACTAAGATCCAGAAAGTAAAATAACTTGCCCAAGGCTAAGCCACCAACGGCGGGGACACAGTCGGCTGGAAGGCGCTTGTCAGATGCCTGTTCACTGGAGGCACAGAGGGGTGGAAGAACGGTGAGCAGAGGGGCCAAGATGGAACCCACTTCTCCTTCCCAGAGCAGAGCTTTCTATCTCCCCAGATCCAACTCCTCCCAGGGTGCGGTGTGTGTTCAGTACTCCGTCTAGTGGGGCACTGAACACAATTGACATTGAAAGCCATTTCAAAGCTTCGTCAACCTCTTCCCCTGCCCCTCCCCGCTGGGCTTTTCTGACGTAGGAACGTCCTAAGCAAGAAATGTGAACATTTGGCCAAGGGAGGTTGATCGTATCTTCAGCTTTACCACCTTTCCCTAAGAAGGAATGACACAGAGATATACAGAAAGTATGAGAAAAACAAGTGCTATCATGTAGGACTTTATGAAATAAACCACTTAGATCCAACCATTTTTAATCTTAAAAAAACAGCAACTCCAGAAAAACTTAATACACATGTTGCAATGTCTTTGTTTCATTCTTCAGGGATCCATAAAAATAAAAATCCCCAAACTACAGCAAACTGTTAGCAAGCACAGAGGAAGCTGAGAGCCCATAGGAAACTCTTTATTTTCACTCTTATCAAAAAAGTGCACAAGGTCCTTCTTAGCACCACTGCCCATCCCACCGCCTGTCTACCCTCTAGATGGTGTATAAGCCATTTGAATTTACAAATTGAAATTCAGTTAATGCCAAACAGAAACAAGTGAAAAGAGGTCTGGGTGGCCTCTCCACGCTGCACCTGTGAGAGTGCAACCTCTGAACACTTGTCCTACGTGCCCCTTCATTTCCTTCCCTTAACTGCTCCCAGTGATGTACAAAATGCAGTCCTTTCACAAGCATTTAGAAAGTGTTTTTATTGGTTACAATTATATAAAATGAATCATTTGAATTCCCCCTAGTTATTAAGTGCTTGCTAGCAAGAGCATAAAAAAACTTTTTTATACATCTGACAAACTCAAATGGTTTATTTCATGCTGGAAGGGGAGAGAGAAACAGCAAACAGCACTCTTCACTTGTCTGTCTATAATAATGAACCTCTCTCTCTCAAGGCTACATCGGTTAAAATCAACGGACAACCCCTTTTGTAAGTCAAATCGCAAATTTTAATGTTTTCATTAGAATAGTCTTTTATATCACTCTCCAACAAGAAACAATAAAATAACTAACAGCAAACTTCAATACAAGTACACTCTCCAGATTAACAACTCAAACAAAAATGTAAAATGTAAATCACATATAATACAATTGAAGCGTCCAAAACAATTTAAATAATTTTAAATATTTTATTTTTAAACTACTACAAATGCTTTACACAATATTTCAACACAAAGTCCCAGTAACAGAAATGTAACAAAATGGGAATGATAGTGAAAGGGTTAAAGTGGCACAAATTCACCAAACAAGTATTAAACTACAGATTTTAAGAGGTAGATTATTTTAAAGTTGAGAACAAAAAAACAACATGAATGAACCTAACCATTTTCCACCAACTGTCATTAATTAGGGGGAAGGCATACAATGCACGGAGAAATGATACTTATATACTCAGGAAGGGGCCAATGTGTTGTTTTTAATCTCTATTAGGGACTGAAGTGTAAAAGCTGGTGTGTAAATTCATTTATACTCACGTGTAGACCCACATCTATACAGGCCTGTGATCCATCCTGGGCACTGATATATTGCTACATAGTCTTCGATAATATAATAGTTATAAATTAGTGCCAGATAATAATCTGAGAGGATACTGTCCATTTGGATATATAAACATGACACTGGAAGAGGCATAAAAAGAGTCCATATCCAATCTGGCTTCCTCTCTATTATGCTGGCAATCTGCTTGTGATAAAAAAACAGGCTAAGAGAGAAGCTAAATACCTCTTTCTATCTACAATTCATTTAAAAGAAAGGCATCAAGAGCTGGTGTGTGACCAAAACGTCTTAAAATGAGTGCATCACAATTTGTCATCCCTGAAATCTACAACAAACTATTGATAAAGCAGAGGACTTGCTTTGCAAGGTTACCTTCAAAGTATTCCTTTCTCTGCTATGTGCCAAAAACCAGGGCCACACTGATTTGAGCGACAGTCCCATGACGACGAGCCAGCTCATCTAGCCCATCCTACAGCCAATCACCCGAGAGCCCAGCACGTGTGATGGGCACCAGCGAAGAAGCAGATGCCTGCCTCTAACCAGCACAAGAAGCCTGCTGGCAATCGGCTGTGGGAGCATTTTTGAGTCAGCTTCAACTGGGTCTTGCAAGCTTGGTAGATTTCGTATTCTTTGCCGTAGTGCTTATCCTAAGTTGAGCATGCAATATCTTTATTTAGTCAATTAAGGTTTGTTTTGTTTGGGGGGCTTTTCTACAGGAAGTTCCTAGAAAATAAGAAAACTGAAGATAAATGACAACATAACATAACCTTATATGAATTGACCATGTTAAAGAAAAGGTGAGTAGACCATGTGACAAATGTTCAGACAGCAACAGAATGACTCTGAAGGTATGCAGAAACTTGAGTATCCCACTCAAAAGACGTGTGCTGGGAGGAACCACAAGCAGGTCTATTTGGAGTGGTGTGGCAGAGACGGATGTGTGGAAATTAGCATCATTTTATTTTTTTAATCAATTCATGGTAAATGGGAAAACTTGGTCTGGAGTTTCATTTTGCTTCTCCATCTTTAAGTGTTCTTTACTGGCTACACTGGGAACACAGTATTAAAAAAGAAGTTGCTCTAAAAGGAACATTAAAGAATGTAAAAACACCTTGGGATTAACCAAAGATGGATCAGAGTAGAGTAGAGAATGCACCTCTTTCCCTCTTTTTGTCTTATAGTCCAAGGAAACGAGCCCTCAGCCACAGATCTAAATTCAGTCCCACCAATAAGCCACACGTAGGCTCCAACGGCTAACTGTGGACAGTGAGCCCAACACAGGGGTCACTGGATTAAGAGCTGTAACAGGAGACTCTAAAGATGGGTGGTACGCCTGGTGTCCTTTGCTGCTTTGTCCTAAGAAAAGGATTTGGAGCACATGTCTTTTTTATACCCAGATTGGCACAATGGCCTGTTCTCCAGGAAATGACCAATTGGCAAATTCTGCTGAGCCCTCAGTGTTAAATGGAAAAGTATGACTTCATTCACATGGCTGACTGCAAGGATATACTTGAAAATCTGTGGAATTCTAAACTGGCATTCAAATGTAAAATGTCTGAGTGTTGGGGACTAGCTCTTAATCACAGTTTCTTATGATGAAATACACAGGAAAAGAGGTGCTGCCAGTTCTGCAGTAAGTCCTTGACTATGTAGTGGGCTAAGTGAAGCAAAATCACTAAAAAGAGAGTGAAAAGTGAGTACTTCTAAAAATGCGCCATGAAGCCATCCCTGAATAAAACTTACAAGTAGAAACAACATACTGAAAACAGAAGAAGACTATAGTTAAAACACAAGTACCAAGGACCAGGTCTACTCTCTAAGAGCCCTGGGCTGGGTGCTGATGAACCACCACATTCCGCAGGCCTGAGTTCAGGAATCCCGGTTTTACACCAAATTCAATACAAGGTACAAGAAGACTACAACAAACCCTCTGAAGAAATGCCCACTCTTGTGTTCAGATAATCAAAACATGATTATCTTGTTGAACATTTGTGTTTTAATTCCCAAAAATACTTCGCAAATTTATGGTCACTTGTAAGTGGACCCCTGTGTAAGACACACATCCTTCAGATGCGTCCACTGCACAGTTCCAGTGACTCATACGAAGGAGAACAGCCACCCTGGATACCTGCTGCTACCATCTACCACTTAGAACAATACCCAGGTTTTCTTATCTGATTCTTCTGTGTTTCCTTTTAGGCCAAATTTCATTCCAGCAATGTAACCCTCTGTTAACTATCACGCAAAGCAAAATAATTAAAATTAACTGGAGCAAAGAAGAGACATACTCTTAATAGGCACTTTGGTCCTCTGCGGTCTTAAGGGTTCTTCAAAAAGCACTGGATGAGTAAGAGGCTAACTGAAGGAACTTCATAAATTTATAGTTACTCAGAGCACTTTTCTTTATAGTACTTGTATTTTTCATATCGACTTTACCCTTAAACTGTATAAATGGGATCAGTACAAAATGAGTGATTCTTTCAGACAGTACTGGAGACAAAACGGGACACACCTAGTGCATTCTAAAGCATCAACCACCTGGGAGATATTTTTTAGTACAATCTGTGAAAAGAGGCATATTCTGGTTCTTAAGCTTGAAAAGGACTCAGTTTAAGAATATTCTGTCGTTGTGGAACTACAAGAACACAGACGGGGTACAAACAGGTACACAGCGAAATTGCTACAGGCAGGCAGCTTTATCAGCTGATAAACAGGTGCTTGTTTTCACCAGAGCTAAGTTCCCAAATGCTACACATGCACGTGCCGTGGCCAGAGACCAGATATTGAATGTGATCTACGGGAACTGATTATTTAGTACATTTAGGAAGTAGCTTTCTAAAAACCTGATCCTTTATCCTACAGTAAGTCATTCCCATCAGCTTCAGCTCATGGCTCTTCTCGACATCTTTCTGTAGCCGTGACTTAAGGCACCAGCACAAACAACTCGACCTCGGCAACTGTGCTGTGATAACAGCACCTTCCCCTTCTCACGGCCCCTCCAGAACGGCAGTCGCTCCCCATTAACACTAATTCTGTTGGCCTGAAACACCAAAGAATTTTCAGACACTGAAAGGTATAGCCAAGAAAGCCTAGAGTCAGGCAGCTCACTCTGAAGGGACAAGATTTTTCAAAATTTTGCAGAAATTTTATCTGACAATGAATAATTTCACATGAGATTGACCTGTAGGCATTATTCAGGAAAGAGCAGGAATTCCAAGAGCACACATCAACTCAGGCTATTTAAGTAACTTAGAAAGTTTGAGGACTCAATGTAACAAATTTAACTATTGCCCTATGTTTTTATCTGTCACTAAGAATAGTTCTTAACATAGGGAGAACATAGAATAAGGCTGTAAAATCACCTCAGATGTAAGAGGAGCTCTCACACCATCACTGGGGAACCAAGGCACCGACCAATGAAGCCGACCTGCCCTGGGTACCACCCGTGCCTGAGAGAACCCCGAGGATGCCCCACTGCAGGGCTCTGAGCGCTCTCTCCTCCTCTTCTCCTTGGGAAACTGGCCTCTTTATTATCTTACACCTGAAGACAGGAGGAGGTGCACATGAGGCATTTGAAAAGGAATAATGGTGTTGTGTTTTGTTACAACCAATGAGGCAAGTTTCTTAAATTAAAACACAATAAAAGAAAGCATGAATAATACAAGCATTCTTAGTTACTTTAACTACGCTTAGGTCGCAGAAACATTACACAAGGTTGCAAAGCAGTTTTAATGAACTTTGTGATTTATCTTAACATAAGTGATATATGATCCGGAAATAATACAAGTGACACTGAGATATTACCCAAGATATGAAGGAAGTCTGAGAGAATTTCATTTTTTCGTAATAGGGTACTTTTGAGAGCTTTACACGGTTTCAAATTCAATTCACAACTGGCCCTACTAAAGAAATGGTACCACTTTGTGAGTCCTAGGTCTGAAATAAAAGCCAGGCATTTATCTCCACAAACAGCCAAAGCAGTGACCCTTCTTCATGCCTACAACTTAAGCAACAGCTATTTCCTTTAAATGCTTTATGTCAAAATTATACAGGAAAAAGAAAAAAACGCCATTGGGCAAGTACATTGGTTTCTTCCAACCGTCTTCCCCCCGCCCTTCAAGCTCTGAACTCCTCTGGCCCTGAAGACGCGGCTTACCTGAAGTCCTTCAGCTCCTGCCTGCCACTGCTGTCCTCCCTCCTGTTTTCACTCGGGTCGGCAGCAGCTGCCAGCTGGAAGCTTCGGGTGACCGGCCCCCCACTCCGCTCCCTAGATTTGACATTGAGCCGGTCTGTTCTTTTCTTACTGGCCAAAGCGGATTTGCTTTTTAAGACAGCTTTGCTTTTCTGTACCCTCACGTGCAGGTTCCGGGAAGTCTTGTTCGAGAGCTGAGCAGAATGATTCTTGGCCACAGCCTTGGGTTTCTTCCCCTCGACATGAGTTATTTTGGCCATTCTTATCGGGCTTGAGTTCCTTAAAGTGGAGCTTGGCTTTTTGGACTTCACCGAAGCTGCAAATTTGACATTCTGCTTGGACCTGAAGGCCGAGGAGGGCAGGGGGGCTTGTGTGGGGCCTGAGCTGCGGGCTCTGGTTTTACCCAGGGGCGCCTGCGTGCTCTGCATTTTAATCTCTGCATCCGCTGTCCGTCTGCGGTGGCTGCTGCTGCTGTTTCTGTCACTACACGCAGGTGATGAGTGTCCGCCTTTCTTGGATGAATGAGAAACTTTTTTTTTTGAAGGAGAAAGAGGTTTTTTGGGGCAGCTGAAAGCGGCATGTTTATTCAGGCTTCCGATGTACGTGAACTCTCTGTTACAGTACGGGCAGATGTGTGAGGAGGACTCAGAAGCGTTTTTTAAGTCGGCCTTCTGCTTTGCAGATTTGTTTTTCTGAAGGATTGCTTTCTGGACAAGCTGATTTTTTTTCTTCAATGCACTTAATTTGAGCTTATTCGATGACATTTTGCTGAGCTCAACACTGAAGTTCAGTCTTTTGGGCTGTCCCATTCGTCTGAAGGCATTTTTCCCAGAGTTATCTAAAACCACCACACCGTTTTTGGGTTGCACAGTTTGTTTCAACGGTACTGGATTTTTCTTAGGGGTATACCTCTTCTTGTCACTAGCAGAAGCACAGGCCAGGATATGTTTGTGTAACTCAGGCATGTTGTCAACACCTTTTCCACACTTTGTGCAGCGAATGGCAGTAGTAAACGTCTGCGGAATATTGTGTGTAGTGAAATTTGTGGCCGTCACACCAATACCCATGGGATTTCGGTGATGGTACTGAAATGGAGGTGGTTTAAAGCTCGGGTAATGTTGATTGAGACCCAATCGAACATCTGGATCTTTCGTCTTTATTCCAGAAGCCATTATTTTTATGGTTGTGTAAAGCTCTTCAGAGGAATCGTTTAACTCCTCCTCTTCTCTAGATGTTTCTAAAGGATCTTCTGGCAACCTCTGCATATGCTCTATATGGGCCTTGCTGGGATCTGTAAAGTTCTGGGGCCTCAGAGTGCCACTTTCAAACTCATGGTGTGTGCACACTTTATCTGGATGGAGATCTCGCTGGTGCTGCTGCAAATTGCACAAAAAAGCAAATTCTTTTTTACAAACTGAACACACAAAGATATTCCCAACTCCATGAAGCAAAAAGCGATGTTCTGACAAATCAGTTTTAGCCTTAAAAAGTTGCACACAGAATTCACATTTGAAGGGCCATTCTTCAGCATGAATAGATAAATGTTTGGTTAGATCTTTAATGGAAAGAAAAGGTGATTCACAGACATTGCAGACAAAGTTTTTGTTGAATGTTTCCTGAACAATGTCCTGTTCAACTGCAGACTGGGGCTCTTCCCTGGGTTTCAGATCTTCATTCTCTAATTCCTCCTGTTTGAAAGCTATCATGGGGAGAGAAGCTTCCAGATTATCCCCAGAGGAAACAACGGATGATACTGCTGAGAGAGGAGGTGGCGAAGGGGAAGAGGAGGAAGATGAAGAAGAGAATGAAGATGAAGAAGAGGAGGAGGAAGAAGAGGAAGAGAGTGTTGGAGGCCCAGGTGAAGGAGCAGACATAAGAGGCTCCACGGAAGGAACGGGAGATGGTGAGGGAGACACTGTAGGGGAAAGGATTGGAAGTGGGGACTGTGCAGCGGCATTCGAGAGTGGAGAGGGGCATGGACGAGCAGATGCACCAGAGGAGGGGGCTGGCAGAGGTACAGTAGGAAGGAGGGGAGGGGGTGGGGTGGCGACAGTTAACACAGGAGGACAGGGCGGAGGGGAGGAGGGATTTGTCGGGATCAAGAGAGGAGGCAGCTGCCCGGAAGAAAGGGAAGATGTCTGTCGGGCAGGTGATGAAGGAGAAACATCAGGTGGGGACTCGACAGCAGGAGCAGATAAACTAGAGTCAGGACCCAGGTCAGGATCTGGCTGGGGATCTAAGGATTTGCAAGGACTCGGACTCCTGGTCACATCTGGAGTATTTTCTATAGGTAAATCGATGCCATTGTACTCATTGAGAAGAACCTTCTGTAACATGCAGGTGGTTGGTTTCTTTTTCTTCACAGCACTGCAGGCTGGGTGGACCAAATGATTTTCTTTGAATTCCTTGCCTTCAGAGTCACTACAAGGCTTTTTATGCACACTGAGATCTAATACAGATTCCCACTGGCCCAGAGTCTTGCCTGCACCCTCAGCCTTTTGTTTTACACCACTGGATAAATCCAGCGGCTGCTGGTTGCATACATTACTAAAAGTAGAACTGGGTGCCCACTCTTTAGATACTTTATAGTCATCAAAGCATGGCGGACTCACGGTTTCTCTCTCATCTCTCCCAGACAAACTCCACGCTGGTGAGTTGTTATGACTTTCTAATTTGGGTTTTTTGGAACTTAGAACTACGTCAGACCACACGGCTTTACCATCGCTTGGCTTTCCAAAGTCTCGAAGGGCAGGACTGTGTTGTGGAGAGCTGGGAGGAGAGCTGGTCCGCCGCTTAAACCTACTCGAGGGCACAGGCAGCACTGAAGCAGGAGAGGACACACAAACAGGACCTAACTTAGGTATTTCAGTTGCTGGAATTCCTGCAGGAGTTAGTTTACCCTGGGTTTGCAGAAGCTGTTTGAGCTTCGATGACAAATATACACTCTTCTCTTTGTGGAAAGGTATTGCCTCTGTAGTTGCTATGCTAAGAGGCAGACTTAAGGAACACGAGGCTGCTACAGGATCAGACTCGGTTTCAGCCTTAATTTGGGGTAACACAGGAGGACTAGCAGTTCTCCGTTTCTTGGACTCACTGTTTGTGCTGCTGGAAGGCTCTTTAGGAAGATCATCTGTTATGGGGACCTGTGTGGTCTTTATATTTTGGGTAATTTCCACCGTAACTGGAGTAAGTAGACAATTTATACCATACAAGTCTGCCGAACTGGATTCCATCTCAATCACGTCACAGTTACTAGTGCTGCTGCTGGTCTGAATTTTACCATCAATATAGTAATTTAAGTTTTCAGAGATATTGCTAGAAATATCCATGATGTACACGTCATCTGCCTCCCCTTCCTCCTCCGGTTCTGTGCTTGGTACATAGACACTCTGGGTGGGCTGGGCCTGCTCTGCTGGAGGTTGTGGCTCTTCGAGGAGGCCTCCTTTTCGCCGTACACCTTTGGGAATCAGATGACGTTCATGAACTCTACGCTGATGCCGTCTCATATTAGTATGAGTTCCAAAAACCTTTTTACAATATTTGCACGGATGAAGCTCTTTAACTTCTCCATTCTCTTCTACAACAGAAGAATTTACTGTTTCTTGGGAAGCCTTCTCTGAATTCAAGATCAGACAGTCTTGCCCAAGACTGGGAGGACTGGAGTCATCTTTCGGAGGAACACTGTCTCCAGATCCTTTGCCATCAGCTGGGTCTTCTGATGGCTGTAGTGTTAGGCTGGGTTTTCGCTTTAACCCTGACTCATGGCGACGCTCATGCCTCCTCCTGTTAATCTGTGTGCCAAATGCTTTCCCACAGTACTTGCATTTGAAAGCATGATTGACTGTAGATATATGGATATGCATGTGACGTTCAAGCCCCTGTTTGGTTGTAAATTTCCTTTCACAATGCTGACATGGAAACATAAATGCTTCAAATACATCACCATTGGCTTCTTCTTTCGTTTTGGGAATTCTGATAACAGATGTTACCTCTGGAGAGTCTTCAAGAGTTTCTTTTGAAATACTCTTTGGTTCTTCTAATAAATCTTCTAGCTTCTCATCACACCGTATTTCTGGCTCTTTCACAGAACTTTCATTTGGCGTGTCAGCTTCCTCTTCCCCCTCTTCTTCCAACTCATCATCTTCGTCGTCTTCTTCCTCCTCCTCTTCCTCCAAATCATTCACCTCACAATTTGTTGCTTCTAGCTTCTCGTCTGGTTCTGTCTGTGGTTCGCAGGCAGGGGGAGGGACTACTAGTTCTGGAAGCACATCTTGACGAACCATCTCCTGAAGAACGGCTGTCTGCTCAGCTGCTGAGGCTGAAGGCTTCTCGTCCTCTTCTTTGGGACCTAGAAAGCACAGAGAAGCAAAAGCACAGAAGTGAGGGCAAAAACTGGCCACTTTATGATCAATTCTTATTATTTAAGTTATTTCTCTTATCACCTAAAATGTGTAAGGGAGATTATGATTAACAATAAAGAGCTCTACTTTCTCACTTATAAAGTTGTACTGGATATGAATCCATTTCATTCATTCATTCATTCATTCATTCAACAAATATTTATAGAGCACCTTTTATGTACCAGGCAACATGCTGGGCACGTGGATACACATGTGAACAAAGAATGCCCACATGGAGCTTAGATTCTTTTGTGTTTAGTCACACATAGATAAATACATTTTCCTTGACAGAAATTGTAGTGCCTAAAACTGTATTGGAGTAGCTGATATTGAATTTCAGGAGACTAGTTGTGAATTCCAGTTTCTCAAGATTCTAAATTGAAACAAGGAAACTGCCAAATATATTACCAGGTTAGAATCTTAGTAGTCTGTCCTGAATGAAATGATTCCCTCCCTCCTTTGTGACCAAACCATATATTTAGAAGCTAAAATATTTCCAGAATCATGTGATCAGAATTTTTTTTAAGTAAAAGAAACTTCAGAGATCATCTCTTCCAAGTCTGATCAAATTATTAAGAACTCAGGAGTACCTCAAACAGGAAACAGAAATCTGAAGTCTCTTCTGAGTCTCTATTCCCAGGAGAAACCCAGCCTAGCCCAACTTGAGGCAGACAGCAGACAGGCGGTCAGGGAAGGACTCACTAGTAAGGTGACAGTTGAGCAGAGACCTAAAGAAAATGAGTCATGCAAATATCTGGTGGAGGGGGAGAAGCTCTCTGGATAGAGGAAATAGCAGATGTATAAGCTCTGAGTCAAGAACGAGCTAGATGTGTTCAAGGAATAGCAAGGAAGCTAGAAAGGCTGGGGGCGATGCTGGAGGGAGAGGGAGGGAGGAGAGAAGGAGATGAGATCACAGAGGTAACCAGAGGCCAGCTCACGTAGGACCTTGTAGGCAGTTGGCGTTTATACTGAGTGAAATAGGGGGCTACTGGAAAGTTCTAACAGAGAAATATGGTATGATTGACTTATATTCAAAAGAATCACTCCAGCTGCTACGAGGAAGACAGAAAACTCTAGGTGGACAAAGGTGGAGGCAGGAAGACAAGAGAGGAGCCTACTACTCCTCCAGACGAAGAGCAGGGTGGGGAGATGAGGGTGGCATGGGAGGTGGTAGAAAATGGTCAGACTCTGGATCTACTTAGGAGATGAAGCTGACAAGAAATGCTTGTTGACTAGGTGTGGTGAGAGAGAGGAGTCAAGAGGATTCCACAGCAACTGCAATAATCCTGTTTACTAAACTGTAGAAGACTGAGGGAAAAGCAGGCTTAATCTGTGCATGTGTGCACACTGCAGTGGGATTCAAGAGTTTACTTTGGATATGCTGAAGTCTGAGGTACCCGATCGACATCCAAGTAAAATTATTAAGTAGTTAGTTATATATCGGACTCAAGTTCAACAAAGAGGCTGAGCCTAGAAATGCACAAGTCCTCAGACTAGAAATGGTATTTGGAGCATGGGACTGGACGAGGTCATATGGAGAGTGAACATAGGAGAGAGGAGGGAAGACTGTCCCTCAGGTGACTCCAGTCCTTAAGAGGTTGGAGGAATGGCCAGTGAGGTATCTGGAAAGCCAAGAGAGAAGTGGCCCTTAGACTAAGTACAGAAAGTTTCAAGGAAGGAACCATCAGCTGTACAAAACTGCTGATGGGCTGGGTCAGATGAGAACTGAAAATTCAATTTATCAAGGTGGAGGTGCAGTGATCACAACAGTTTTAGTGGAGTAGTGGAGTTCCTAAGAGAATGTAAGGAGGAGTGACAGACAGGAAGACTTATAAGCAACTCCTTCAAGTTTAGCTATAAAGGAAAGCAGAGAAGTGGGGTAGTGGCGGGAAGGAAACACAGGGACAGCAGGGGACCCTAAGAGAGAACGTGTTAAGCACATTTAAGGCTGATAGGGATGGTCCATAATGCTGCTTTCTCATAGTACCACCTGAGTCTCTGTTGAATACACCCCTTTTACTGTACACACTTGAAGAGTTAAGAAAGGCTCTGCAGAGGAGGCAGCACTACTCTGACTTCTCCTGGCTGTTAACTGGCTCTTCCTCCACTCACTGGACAAATATTTACCATATGCAGGTACCAGGTGAACAAGACTGTCCAGATCCTTATCCTCACAGAGCTTCACTTTAACAGGAGCTACATACAAGTAAGCAGGAAGCAACACTATAGTAAATTAATGGTCATGCTTGTGGAAGTACATGCTGCTATGGAAGCACAGAGGAAGAACATCCAGGGCTTGGTTAATTAGGGAAGGCTTCTTAGAGAAAGTACCAAGGAGGCTGAACCTGAAGGTCAAGGATAGAAGAGGAAAAGTAAGCAGAAGGAGTTAAAACATGTAGCACATGGTAAATTAGTCTGGACTTATCTAGGGGCAAAGGGGATCCATTAAGGTATTTTAAAGCAGGAGAGTGCCATTTGGGAGACTTGGCTGCAGTGTGGATTAAGGGATTGGGAGGAGGACACTACCGCAAGCAGAAGACCCACTGTGATGCAGTGGTAATGGAAGGAAGATGTTGGCTGCCTACACTAAGAGAAGTAAATGGAAAGAAGCAGTAGAGGCAGAAAAAAGTGGCCAGACTGTCCAGACAGAAGAGGCCCGTTAACAGACCTGGTGACTGCCTGGATACCAGGGGTAAGGAGGGTTAAAAAGGCCAACGGTTCCAGGCTCTGCAAACGTGAGGTATCAATACAAGCTTGCTTACTCAGGCCTGGCCTTCCTGCTGTTTCCTAGGAACATCAGTCTGACGTTACCCATCTGTTACTACATTTACCAGCAATGAGGTTTCTGCCTCTAAATAGAAACTAGCCTTCTCATCCCCTAGAACAATTTCATAAATTCCATGAGTTTTCCACAAACTGGGAAATCAGTCATTTGATGGTGATAATGTATTTCAAATTTGGAGCTAATTCCCTTTTGAAATACCTTTTCAACAAAGACTCAGCATGTTGCTTAAAAAACTCAAAATGAGACAACATAAAAGGAAAATACTATCTCCAAGGCTCAGAAATTTCTTTATAGAGTTCATTTTCAGCCAAAATCTGCGGCTTCTTTTAATGGAAAAAAAAAATTTCTTTCCCTGTGACTGGTAAACCATTCCAGATTTAAAACTGTCCAAAGTAATATGAACCAACACATGCACAGCTCTATTAACTAGTAAGGCCCATACCGAAGTGTGTCCACATACCCAATGAGGTCTGTTGAGGTTTAAACATAAAAGAAGGTTTGGAGAACATGAGGAAGAGTCTGGACTGTTTGCTCAGTATGTAGACCACTTGCTGAGGACAATGCAGAACATTCAGGAGAGGCCGACAGCTACACTGTACAGAACCCATTGCATCTTGGCCAGCTATTCCACAACAGGGAAACATTAAATATCTTTTTTCATGGGACCTGATGTTATATCAGGGAAAATAACTCTTGAATTACTAAGGGGAGAGGAGGCTGTTGTATGTTCTTCTTTGATTCTGCTACTAAAGGTAGTGATGTATTTGTATTTTTGTTGTTGTCCAAACAAATGTCTTACTTAGCAAATCTGCTACCAGCAGGCAGAACTCAGTTTTATGAGGCTCTGGGAAATAAACCTGTCTATTCTTGCTTCATAAAATGCCACAGGAAATTACAATCCTTTAGGAACATCATTACCACAAAAAGTGCTAATACAATGGCTTAAAAGGCATCCAAAATATTTTGTTAGGTTTTTTACCTCTACAAAAGATTCTTGAGTCACAAGTCTATACTTTGAAATTGGCCTATTTGGGTCACTATGAACACTCTTGAGCAAGCTCCAGTCTCCGCATAAATTGGCCACGTAACAAATTAAGACACACCCCCCTCATTTCTAGTATCAACAGTCTCAATATGGCGGCTCAACTGCAATGGGCACAGGGCAATCTGCCTTTCTGATTAACTTTCCATCCATGCCTCTCTGTGAATTCTTACATCATGGAAGGCCTAGAATATGAATCCTCACATGGTTCTATAAAGAAGAAAATTTTGTGTGGAGGAACACAAAGAGATAAAACAGGAATTTAAATTCTAACAAAAGATAGAAACATTTTTTATTCTGTACACTTTTCATTCTGATATATAAAATCAAAGGTGTTTGACATTTTAAGTAAATTTTTGATTGAAATGCAAAACATACATAAAGTATATAAATCATAAGTATACAGCAAGATAAGATGTTTACAAAGTAAAGACACGGATGGACCCACCCTGTGGCACAGTGACAAACTAGTACTAGCACTCCAGAAGACCCCCACGTCCCTGCCAGTCTGACTTCTATCACCATAGATGTGTTTTGATGATTTTGAACTTTATAAATTATTTATAAATGCATCATATAGTATGCTTCACTTTATTTTAACCAGGGAATAAGTTCATTGTTAACAGAAAAGGGGGATGTGGAAGGCTCAATTCACCATATGACATGCAGGTGGCCTTTTTGCTGTTTAACCTTTTATAGTTCTTGGATGATTCTCAGAAGGGCATTCCTAGGAGATACAAAGGTGAAGTAACTGGTGATACATACCGGAATCAGACAAGTCCAAGAACCAAGCTTACCTTCCGCAGAATCTCTCATATTTGCAGAGGTGAAATCTGGCTCACTTGTCTTCAGCAGTATGTCTTCAATTTTGTTTGTTTTGTTTTTATTTTCCTGGGATTTTTTCTTCCCTGAAACACATTATTATTTATTTGTTTGTTTGTTTCTTTATGCATTCATTCATTCATTCACTCACTATTATCCTGAATTCCTGAAGGAGACAATTACTAATCCAATCACAGCAAATTGTATATTTCTAGGCAATTACCACTTCAGCTTCCTAAAGAAAGGAATGAATGATCAATATGAATACTTTTAAGCCATGTCAGGGGAAAAAAAAGAAACCCATAAATCCTGCATTTTTTAAAATCTTGGGCATTAGTTCCCTCACAGCTATAATAGCTATCAAACAAATAATATATTCCAGAAAAGTTAACAACATTGATGTCAGAGGAAAATTAGAGGACAGCACTGAGTTTCGATACCACACAAACAACAGGGACTGGCAGAAGTCTGATTATTCATAAGAAGCACATTAGAGAAACACAATATAGTATAACTTGGGGCCCTTTTAGTTACGATATGATTATCCGTAATCGTCAAAGTGAAACAACAGAAGCAGAGATTCTGCTGAACTGCAAGGGACAGACATGCACAATGGCTTAAATAGCAAATGCAGAGTAATTATGAATAATTCACTGTCAGCCGGCATGGCACTCAGAGGGTCCTGAGGGACTCGACTCCAGGTCCAGTACAATTCAATATTTCATTAACGATTCAGAGAGTGGAATTCAAGAAACACTAACTGCATTCCAAGCGATACCGCAGTTCAGAAGATAAGATTAAAATGCAACACATTTCTGACAAGCTGGAACAATGAACTCAAGTCACCAGATATTCAATAAGGATAAACAATTCTCTATAGAAGTACAGTCTCTTTGGGATTTAACCAGAATTTGTGACTATTCTTGTCTATTTTTTAAATTATAAGTTTCTTATTCTTGGTAGCTTTTGTTTTTTAGTTTTCAGAATCAGAATGGGTTCCCGTTCATCGTCCTCAAACATTTCCTTCTCTTTCTGCAATGCTGTCCCCGACTAGGTCTCAAATAGCTCCTGGGGCTGTCCTTTCTCTTTCGGAACAAGCCTCTCGCCACCTTTATCTCTGAATTCATAAAATAACAAACTAGAAACCACTCACAGCTTCTGCAAAATGGTATTCTCCATATCAGAAAATCACTACAGAGGAGCTTTAGACAACAGATGAAAATGAGGTCAGAGACACAAAACATTATCATTGAAAAGATCATAATGACTAAAAATAGAAACATCGATTACAATACAAAGCAAATACTTATCCTAAAAAACACCACCAGATTTTGATAAATATTAAAGAGATGCAACAAAAAAAGTATGAAATACTTAATAATCAGCCCCTTACTTTGTTAGTCTTAAAAAGGAAGTTCTAAAATACCATTTTAAATCCCTAATTCTTCAGCCTGTAAAAAAAAACAAACAGATGTTTTCTGCAACTATGAAAACGAAGCTCAAACTCCTGATAACACATCTATCTGTTCAATTCCAAAGGCAGCTAAAACGGAACTCAGGACACAAGCATGCATGTCACTGGAACCACAGTCTGAAGGGAACAGAAGCCAAGAGTCTGCATGGAAACGGCTGATTCAGGCCCCCAGGTGGCAGGATTATAAGGCAATCCTCTCTGCAAGTGGCAAGGAGACAGAAACACCTTTTCACAGTGAGAGCAAACCTCCTCTTCCAGTTCTTTCTCCCTGTGTCAACTTCCCAGCACTTAGCGTACATCTGATGATGACAAAGGCTCCTGAGGAATCCAGCTGTGCTGAAGGGAATTTGGCTTCTACCCCCTCTCAACCAGTTTTCATATCCTCACTAGGACATATGCCCTTCCCTGTGTGTGATGCCCAGTCTCTATCAGATTACTGGTGGCACACAATGCAAATACAAATGATTATCTGGCTACTAACATAACTACTCTAGCACTGCAGTTCACATCTGATGAGATCCACGAAAAGGGCTCCTGGTGCCCTCAAGACGCTTGACTCACAAGTTATATTCAGAAAAGTTTTTCCCTGGATCAAAACCACAAAATTGTATAGACGTCAGTACCACCCCATGGACCTCAAACAAGCCAAGGAATATGACCCTTTCTCATTGAGCTCTTACTTTCTACTTTGTACAGGTAGCAGCCTTCAAAATAAAGAAAAATAGAGGTACAGTCTAAACCGTGCCCTTTAAGCACAAACTTTACATACGTTAAAAAAAAGTCACACTGTAAAATTTAATAGAAATACAGATGTCAATTTGCTATAATACAATCCCTTGCAAAAGCAACTCAAAGATTTTCTGCAACCTCTCAAGCACTATGCAAAGCTAGTTAGCAGGTCATACACAAAAAGTAAACTGGCCTAATAGAACATTAAATAAGTGAAATTTCTAGATTTATATTATAATAAAGCGAAGCACAGCTTTAATAATACCATTCATTAATATGTACTGAGAATGAAATCACATAGCTACCTAAAAGTAAAACTGCTATTTTAAGTTTTATTCCCTGCCTAAAAGAATATTAGAACACCTAGCTGACACTGAATATCAAATGTCTATTTTTGGACTCTCCAAACCTATCAGCAAAGAAGTGTCCCCCTCCCCCCGGCTCCCCATCCCTAGGTGCCTTCTTTAAAAACCATGACCAGGAAACCCTGATCCCCCGGGAAGAGAAGCCACTTGTGGTGGGGACCTCTGCATCCTATTCGGAGGGCTAACGAGAGGACCCCTGCCACAGGCTGCTACATGCTACCTGGCTGTCCCAACCTGCAGCACGAATGACATTTGTAGAGGGATCATTCTCTGTTATGGGGCTTTTCAATGTGTCAGAGGATGCTTAGCAGCATGCCTGACCTCCACCCACTAGATGCCAGTGGCAGCCCCCTTCTAGCTGTGACAAGCAAAAGTCTCCAGACATGGCCAAATGTTCCCAAGAGGAGGGAGTGTCTCCCTAGGTTAAGAATGACTGGGCTAAACCAACATAACATGGGTCACTACAGACATAAGGGACTCTGAAGTCTATATATCTATTAAACATTTAAAAAGTATCTGAATAACACTAATAAACCAATTCTAAAAACTAAGGAATGGAACAATTAAATGTACCTCCAAAGTACCTTTGGTGAACACCGACACACTTAGTCTATGACGGAAATGAGTCTATCATGAATCTAAATATCATTCATTCGTGGAACTGAGACTATCTGATACATGAAATGATTTTCTCAATCTTAATCAGAACCATCTAACACCCGAGTTATTTCCCATTGGGACCGCAGACTAGAGGTGAAGGGGCTATTGAAATCACCTATTTTGAAGGAAAAGGAAGGCCAGGGCCCCAGGGGGATGAATCAGTCTACGACAGAACAGAAATTAGGAGCCGGGCGTCCTGACTCACACTTAGATATGCTTGGTGTCACTCACAAGGCCAGATACTGCCCTAACAGGTGGTGGAACCTGCTACACATCCTTAAATCAGTAACTTTTTTTCCTGATACTTGGTTTCTGTTCTATTTATAATCAAATTAAAAGAAAAAACAAAAACAAGCCTATAATCAAAAACAACCTATAATGATTTTTACAAGGGGGTGAGGGGACTCGTTGGTTTCTCTCTATGCGGCAGGAGGCACCTCAAGCACGGGTCCGGCAGAGCCCACTGGGAGCCTGGTAAGCACACATGTGCACTTACCATCAGGTTCCTGAAGGGTCCTACATAGAGGCTATTGCCAGCTGCGTGCTCCACTTGGTCTAAACAAGAAAGATACAGGAATGAAACACAAGGAAAGTGAAATGGAAACGACGACAAAGAACATAATGAAGGACAGGACTAAACTGTATGTATAAAAGGAAAAGAAATACACAGAGTTATGAAGAAAATAGAATGAAACAGAAGGAAAATAGCAGTTACCTACTGTATCAAGGTTCTCACACACACACACAAGTTAGTCTTTAAGTGTGTTCTTAGTTGCTGACAGGACCAGTGCAGTATACTTACTCTCCGGCCTGTGCCAGGCCTGTGTTGTAAAATTGATGCTGTCACCACTGCGTACCATTTCTGCTAGAAGACCGAAAGTCCCAATCCATGCCTCTCACTTTACAGAGACACCCAAGGACTGGAGACACGCAGCCATCTGCCCGAGGTCACACAACTAAATTAGCTCTAGAGCTAGAATTAAAACCCGAGGAGGATGATGCTAAAATTGTTCTTTCTACTACATTTATTTCTTAAGACCAATAATGGCACAATAAGAATATCTTATTCTTTACAAAGCACTTTATATCCATTTTTTCACTTGGTTTCAAGGGCAAATGAAAGAAAAGTGGTATAAAGACTTCCACTGCATTTATAGAAAAGGAGTAACAATCAAATTAGATAAAGATTTTTTTCCATTTCAATTTTATCTTATGCCAGAAACAAGTATCGCTCAATAGCACAGAACCCCAATCTGAGCAAATATGATTCACCATTAAATAATATCAATAAAACTGGATGTTCTAGTGAAATAGCCTCCATATAGAGAATCTGACAGCCATAATGACTACTTTTTAAACACGATGTGGAGCATTATACTGCAAGTGTCTGGGATGCAAGTGGCAAAACCAAAATTGCCTAAAGCATCACATGAATAATTTACCCTAGGTCTGGACTGTGTTCTACTGTTCTAATAAACTGGACAAACACTAGAAAATTCTAGAATGATGTTTCACTTAAAAATGTTCAGGCATCAGAGAGAATGCAAAATTCTAGAAGGCTTGCTCAAGTTACATTAAAAATTCATCACAACAGTGAAGGCTCATGCATTTGGTGATTTAAATGAATTAAATTTAGAACCATATGTAACTCAAAGTATGCTGCCTCCTCACTGGGGAGATACCCACTCTGGAGTATAAAATTAGAATTCAGCATCAGTGCAGAGAAGCCGGTCTACCAATCTCTGTTTGGAGGGCCCACCATCTCCCTCAGATACACAGCTGACTCCAAACCAGGTGAGGCCCCACCTGTGAGAGTTCCACAATCGTACCACAAAAGGTCATCGAGGACATAAGCTGC